CAAGGTCCAGGGTAAGGGAGCAATAAATGATGTGCCTGGGTATCTTCAGGTCCTTGTGAGGTATTTGTGTGGATTCCCCATCCTGATTCCCCATTGTGTGCTTGATCCCCATCCTGGTTCTCTCTAGCAAGGGTGGGCTCTTGGCTTTTGTGGAACTCCTCCACTGATTCTGGACTCTGGAATGTCTCTGGAGCAGTCAGGATTGTCAAGGGCATGAGGGGGGTTTGCTATTCCATATGTACCAGCCTCTTCCAGAACTGAGGAAGCCACCAGCCTGACCTACTTCCTACTGCATCCAAAGCAAGGAGTCAGAATGAAGGCAAATTAAAAATATATGTACATACACCTGCCCATCCTGGTGATGGTGATACATATATTGTATATGTACATATATTGTGCTGTCACCCAGTGGCAAGGCAAGGTGGATCACTTCAATAATAATCCTAATAATTAAAGAATTACCCCATATGAACAGGATTGAATTAATTTTCCTCTGAATGGGTGTTTTGATAACTCACACAGATCCATCCCCTTTTCACTTGTCTCCCCTCCTCCTGTCCCCCGTTCTGCCCCTGTGTGGCTGCAGTGTTTTTGATTTCACCATCCCCCTTTAAAGCAGGAGTAAATAGTGCTTCAAGGCTGGCTTTGCTGTTTGGAGTTCCAGGGGCTGGGTTTTTACAGCGCTCGCAGTCGGTTCCAGCTGAAGCCATAATTGGTATTTCGGCCTGAGAGCTGCTGTAAATCTCCGAGAAGGGAAGAGAAGGATGCTCTCATTTTGTTAGGCTGCCTCTCTTTCGGATGCAGAGTGCATCTTCCAGCTCTCTGGGCTAATTAAAATGCCATTACAGTACATGTGGTGCTACAATACAGTCTAGGGAGACTTCCAAAAATAGATCCTTGAGTGCAGACAAATTAGAGAGGAAATATGCACTGAGCATTTTCTCATAGGTTTAAAGAGAAATAATCCATTTGCTGTCCTAATTGCTTTCTTGTAAATGTTGAAAGATCTTTTTTCCCCCCCTCTGTAAATTTCGAGTGAGCAGACAAATAAATAACGCATCCATGATAATTAGTGTTCTCATTACTAATATTGTAACTTGTCACACACGCTTGATATGCAAGTCAGGATGTTGCAGTGGCCTGTGCTGAACGGTCAGGGGTGGAGATTTTGTATTCCTCAGCCAGCCTGTTTTAGCTGCCTGCTATCCCAAGGCTCCAAGGGCAGCGCATGATCTGGTTTTTAAATTCAGCCAAACGCTCGAGCAGAGCCACCCACGGACCCTCCCCAGCTCCTGCCAGGAAGTAAAGCAGAGAAATCCTGTTTGCACATTGTCCTTCCCCCCAGCCCAGCTCGGGTACAACATGCAGGCTGCTTTTTATAGCCTGGTGTACTGTGGGTACTGAGAGCAGAGGGGAAAGAAACCCCACGTCCCTGTGCCTGGAGGAGATTCATGGAATTGCTGTGGGCTGACACGTGTCATGGAGACAGCCCAGAGCTGCTGGGCACTGCCAGGACCAGCCAGGAGCTCCTGTGTGCAAAGGGACGAGGCTTGTGCTGGCTTGTAGAATCCCAGAAGGATTTGGGACCTCAAAGCTCACCCTGTTCCACCCCCTGCCGCTGTCCCAGGCTGCTCCAAGCCCCATCCAGCCTGGCCTTGGGCACTGCCAGGGATCCAGGGGCAGCCACAGCTGCTCTGGGCACCCTGTGCCAGGGCCTGCCCAGCCTCTGAGTAAATTCCCTGGTTGCTGCTGTGCAGTGAGGTGCTGTCCAGAATATTTATGAGCAAAGGAAACAGAAGTCGGTCGAGTGGTCTCAAACTCACAGAAAACTGCTCATCCTGAGGAAAATCTCTGGGCCACTCTGTTGTCTTCCCTCCGTGGAGAACAGGCTGATGCTGGCAAAACTAAGTTCTGCAGTCCCTTCATCTCATTTTAAAAAATCTTCTCTCTGAGGTTTCTCTGTGGTTGCCCACGATTCATGTTCAGGTGTTGAAGCTAAAGCTGTGGCCACCGAGGCTGCCATGTCACCTTGCACGTGCCCCTGGTGGCACATCCAGGAGGGAACTGGGATCCTCTGCATCCTCACTGAGTGCAGAGTGCTTGGTTTTGGACAGTCCTTTGGCTTTTCCTCCTCCTGCCCTTGCTTGGCCAGGTGTTTCCCATTTGTAGTTGCGCTTTTTTCTCTGTCATTATCACAGCAGGGAGGTTTTACTCCTTTGTCACTGCATCCCCCATTCTTTTTTTTTTTTTAGTTTTAATTCTGCATTTCAAGCTCCAAAGGGACAAATCTGAGTCAGTAATGCTGATTTTCTCTGCCTCTTGCTCCTGCCTTTCTCCCTGTCTCTCCTAAAGTTTTACTTCTACACCTCTGTAGAACTTCTCCTCTACTCTGGGTGTCCTTTAAAGATAATTTTTAGTTGCTCATTGCTATGCTCCAGGAATTCAGGTAGGCCAGGGTGATTTGCATCAGGCTGAAAGATCTGAATAAATGGAAAACTATTTAAATAACCTCTTCGTTCCCAGTTCTGCCCTGCATTTTAAAGCTCATCAGAGTTAATTATAGTCAGGCTGCTTGCAGTTTCTCTGAGACCTCACTGAATGTTTCAGCCTTCCATTTCTCTTCATTTCTTGTCTTTTTTAAGTGGAGAAGTTGTATTTCCCAGTCTTCATCTGGTTTGGTTTTGCCCTGGATGGTCTCAGAGGTCTTTTCCAGTCTTGACAATTCTCTGGTTCTGCTGCTTCATCTTTTCTGAGGGTTTTTATCTCTCATGTTTCTGGTTTATTCTGGACTGAACTTATAAATATTTTCCCTTTGTTTTGCTATTTTCAACTTCTTTAAAACCTGCAAACTCAGCTACTTCCAAACCTGTCCTGGCTATATTCTCTGAATAACTTAACTCTTTGGAACAGATTAAGATAAAAACCAAAGTGTTCAAGTTTCCATCAATGAATTATGGCTTCATCTTGTTAATTAATGACAAGAAATGCCCATCTGGAAACGAAGCTACACAAAATGTTCCCTGACTCGAGCCATGAATCAGCCAGGCTGGTGTCTGCTTCCCTCCAGGCTCCGTGGACAGAGCACTTTGTGGCAGAGTTTTGGGGAAATCATCAGACTGATTCACAGAGAACCAATTGGAGAGGATGGTTCCTTGCCAAATCTGTTTAGTAGCTCAGCACCAATTTGGCCAGCAGAGAGCTGGGGAATATTTTGTAGCTTGTCTGGGCTGTCTCAGTACTCAAACCAAGGCTTGTGGTTTGTGAGGAGAGTCAAACTCTGACTGCAAGTGCTCCAGCAGCTCCACATCCTTGTGCTGAGGCAGGACTCCAGAGATTTAGAACTTTATTTTATTTTACTTTATTTTTATTTTATTTTATTTTATTTTATTTTATTTTATTTTATTTTATTTTATTTTATTTTATTTTATTTTATTTTATTTTATATTACTTTATTTTATTTTATATTACTTTATTTTTATTTAATTTTAATTTAATTTAATTTTAATTTACTTTATTTTTATTTTATTTTTATTTTTTTACTTTATTTTTATTTTATTTTATTTTATTTCATTTTTATTTTATGGAGTGTTATTTGCACAGCAAAGACAGAACCTTGGTCTCTTGGATAGCTTGGTTTCGCTTCAAGTGTTTCAGGTGTCAGTGCTTTAGAAGATGTTCCTGAATGTTCTGCTGTGATTAATCTAATCCTCATTTCGAAACAAAGATTGGTTTATGGGTATGGGAGTTTTTTTAATGAGTGTAAAAATGAATGTACTTTATTTCTTACCATTAAACAAGTCTTAAAAATCCCCCAAATTGACCTGGATTTGTTTCACAGAGCACCCGGCTGCTGCTACAGGGCTCTGTTTTGTCTCCATGGGTTCTTCTCCTGTGAAGGAACATCTTTATCTGAAGCTGCCCAGCAGAGAAGCTGAGAATGCCCTGCTCCCCAGGAAAACTGGGAATTTTCCTGGGCTGTGCTCTCACTGACTCTGGAGTGCCTGATGGCTTGATTATATTTTAAATAGGGATGTTTTGCTCTTCCCTTTCTGTCTGGGTACGGTCACTGGAGGTGAACCCAGGCAAGACATGGAGAAGTCCCCAGAAAAACAGAGAAAGCAGGGAGAAGAAAACAAATATTAACATTTTTGTAGCACTGTCCTTTGCCTGTGAGAGATGGGGTGGCTTCTTTGATGTCTCCAGACAGGGTTTGGCTTGATCCTATCAGAGCTGCAGCACAGAAAGGGGTTGGAGGGGAAAAGTGAGACAGACTGGCAAAGGTGGAACAAATAGGTTTGAGATAAATTTTCTGTATCCCAGGGTTCGTAATTACACTGAAAACATAATTTAGCATTTTTTGCTTTGGCTTTTCTGGGAGGGGAATGGGTGACTAGAAACTCAGGTGTGGCAGTCTCCAACACTGGTTGTTCTGTTTAACTCTACCTGGATGCAAGATACAATCTTGGAAATATTTTAAATAGGGAACTGCTTCAGCAAGATGGATTTGTGCATCTCATTTACAAAGTATGTTTTTAATGCCTTTCTGAAATCTAAACTTATGCAAAATGGGGCTTGTTATGCATGTCTCTGCATTTTAATCTCCTGCAGTGATTTGTCAGTTTTCCTTAACATCTCCCTGGCATATTCCAGCCATTCCTCAACTTTGCTCCGTGGGGCTGCGTGTGTGTCTTAGCTCAGGAAGGAAGGCACAGTTGTCTCTGGTAAGGTCTGGGAGCTGACATGCCTGTTTCCTCAGCCTGGGATCAGCACCACTTGTGGACTGAAAGACCAGGAAGCCCTGAGTGGAATTTGGGATAGAGTCTTCTTTATTTTCTGCTGGGAATGTTCTCATTTCCATTGATTCCTTGTGTTTCTGCTCTGCATCGATAATTGGTTGCTGATTTTTTTTTTTTTTTTTTTTCTGCTTGGAATGGCTAAAAATAGCTCAGCTACTCAAAGTGTTGATGTGATTTTATTTTCTTTTTCCCTCCTCTTTCCAGATGGGCTTTCTGGCAGAGACCAGCCAGTGGAGCTGTTGAATCCACCTCGAGTGAACCACATGCCCAGCTCTGGTAAGGAAAAAAACCTCCTATTAAAGCTCATTCCTGTTCTGGGGGGTGCAGGAAAAGGCTCTGCAGCTCTGCCTTGTGAGTAGGAGAGCAGAATGCAAATGCAGAGTGCTGGAACAGAGTCTGTTAGGACTTGCACACCTCTGCTTTCCCAGGCTGGGAGAGTGGGATTTGGGAAGGGAGCACAGCAGCCCTGGGAGTCTTGCAGGGGGCTGAGGGGAGCCCAGGCTGGCGGGAGATGCTTTGGTTTGCCTTAGAAGGGAGAGGAGAACAAAGCAGCATCTGAAGGAGTCCCTTCCCAGCCCAGAGGGAGCTTTTGGAGCTGCTGCTCTCATCAGGGAGAGGGAGCAGGGAGCCGAGGCCGGGCTGATCAAAGCGTGTCACGCTGGGCTCTGGGCTGTTTGCTGTTCTGCCTCTCCTAATGATCCTGCCACGGCCTCTCCTGGGGCTTGTCCTCATGCTCCTCATCCTGCCTGCTCCCTGCCCAGCTGGGAGAGCTCTTGGAGCTCAGGGCTGCAGCTCTACAAGTGATGGAAAGCAAAGTTCTGCTCCCAGTATGTGGAATTCTGAGGGGAACAATCTGCTGCTGGCTTTTCTGTTTCCCCCTTCTCTCTCCCTGGTACAAGCAGATATTTTTACCAGGGGTGATAGGATATAGCAAGCATTATCTACTCTTGCAGGGAGCAGCTCAGATCTTCCAAACCCCCAACTTTCCCTTCTCTGCTGCCTTCCAAAATGCCCTCAGGCCCTTTTCTATTAAGGATGAGATCCTGCAGAAGATCTGAGCTCTTCTGGTAATGCCAGTTGGAAAGATGTAAACGAAGTTTATTCAAAACAACTTCAGTACACTGGGAGGGGGAGAACAAAAGTGGGCTGTGACCTAACCTAGATTTTTGTGGACTTGAATGCCTGTTTGGAGAAGGAAACCTTCAAGGGGGTAGAGTTGTTGCACTGGGGGGAAAAAAGGAAGAGATGGTTGTTTACCAGGCACGGGCGTTTGGCTTTGGATGCTGAGAAATCCCTCTCCCCTCTGTGTGCTCCCAAACGTGTCTGTCAGGTAAGGGAGGTTCTATTTCCCTATCCCTCAGAGGGATTCTCATTTTCAAGTCACTGTGCTGGCCCAGGTCAACTTACAGGTTTTACTGTGCACCTCAGTGGTGAGCCAGGCTGGGTTTTGTGGCTCTGTGCATCACGGGCCAGCATTGTGGAGGGGATGGGTTTGAATCTTCTATCTCTTTATTTTGGGGGTGATTTTGTTTGCTGGTTAAGTCTAATGTTTCCTTTTGAGGTATTTCAGGCCAAAGGCTGGTGCTGGTTGAGGGCTTGAGGAACTTGTTGGGAGAGACTGTCCTGGCTGCTTCTCCCCAGGTGAAATGAGGCTGTTTGATGGAACCAAGCAGGATTTAGGGAATTCTTGCTGTTTGGACTCCATTTTGAGTATTTTTCATAACTCACCTCTGTGCTTTTGGGAGAACAATGAGGCAGAGATCCCTGGGGAGCTGTGCTGGTGTGGAGTGGGTGGGATGGGAGATGGGGCAGTGCCTCTTTGGCAAATGGTTCTCCCAGTAACTGAGCTGTGGGAATGGAATTCAGGCTGGGAGAGAGCTGGGGGTGCTCACCTGGAGAGGAGAAGGCTCCAGGGAGAGCTCAGAGTCCCTGAAGGGGCTCCAGGAGAGCTGGAGAGGGACTGGGGAGAAGGGATGGAGGGACAGGACACAGGGAATGGCTCCCACTGCCAGAGGGCAGGGATGGATGGGATATTGGGAATTAGGAATTGTTCCCTGGCAGGGTGGGGAGGGGCTGGGATGGAATTCCCAGAGCAGCTGTGGCTGCCCCTGGATCCCTGGCAGTGCCCAAGGCCAGGCTGGACAGGGCTTGGAGCAGCCTGGGATAGTGGAAGGTGTCCCTGCCCATGGCAGGGGTGGAATGGAATAACCTTGAAGATCCCTGAGCCCATTCTGGGATTGCCATACCTGGCTTTTATCATTCTTGCCTTCAGGAGTTTGCTGCAGATCTTTGTGAGGGAAGAAAGGAGAAGTAGCACCAAGCATTGCTCTGGGAAAACAAGTTGTGTGTGGGATTGCCGGGTGGTGTTCCAAGGCTCAGGCACGACTGAAATAATGATGTTAAAAACAGCAGAAGGGAAAATAAAACTGCTTGATTGTGTCTTGGAGTATTTTGTTTAAAACATTCTCCTGCCCTGGTCAGGGTAAGGCTGAATAAAACTTGAGTGGTCGATGAGCTTTTATGCTGGGTTTCTATTTCAGATAAAATCACTGCGGTGTGCTCGTAGGAAACCAAAATGTTTTTCTCTTCACCACGAACCAAGTGAAGGAGAGGTTTGACCCTTGTTAGTTGTTTTTCTCTGATGTGAAATGGTGAGAAAGTTCTAAAAATCCTCCCTGAAATGCAGAGCATTTCAACTCCAAACCAAGAACTGTTTACAGCAATTTTATGGAACGGTTTTTAGGAGTGAATTTGCGTGAATAGAACTGAGTTCAGTCTTCAGCAGTGAACATTACTTCTATTTTCTTTTCTGTATAAATGAAGGAGTAATTGGAGGAAGGGAAGCATTTTCTCTTTTCACAGACGTATCACCTGTAATTGGTGCTCTGAATTTCAGAGGTGCTCACAGAGGTGCAAGGAGACCAAGCCCCCCCAGCCCACCCCCTGCCCTGGAGTGCAAAAATCATCCTGGGAGAGCTCTGCCTGCTCTGCCTCAGACTCCTGAGGATCACTGAGCCTTTGGCCCGGGGCAGGAAAAGGAATAAATTAACTTTATTGAGCAACCTTGCTTCCCTTAATTCTCTTTTAAATAATCAGAGCCTGGTGAGGCCCTGATACAGATTTCCCAGGGAAGCCGTGGCTGCCCCTGGATCCCTGGAAATGTCCAAGGGCAGGTTGGACAGGGCTTAGAGCCACCTGGGAGAATGGAAGGTGTCCCTGCCTTTGGAAAGGAGCTGGAAAGAGATGAGGTCCCTTCCAACACAGAGCATTAAGTGGAGATTTCAGCTCCCTGCTGCTTTTTCTCCATGCCAGATCTAGTTATTCACTCTCACTTCCACAGTCATTCACAAAAATAATAATGTTGATGTATGCAGGAATAAATGGTTTGTACAAGTCTCTGGACTAATATTGTCCCTTGGTTTTGCAGTCAGAGATTAATCTCTGTCTGTGAGGGAATAATGTGAGGTTTTGTCGTGCCCCAGAAGTAGCTACCCCTCAGAAAGGCTTTCCTTTAGTCTTAAAAATGTCCTGATATATAATATGGAGCCCTGGAGGTGTCCAAGGCCAGGCTTGGAGCAGCCTGGGATAGTGGGAGGTGTCCCTGCCCATGGCAGAGGGTGGCTTTGAGTCCCTTCCCACCCAGACCATTCCATGATTCCCAGGTAGCAGAGAAACTGCAGCTTAAAGACTTAGGAGTTAAAATCAGCTCAAGGTTCTATTTCCTGCAGTACTTATGATTTAGTAATATTTGTCTTTAATTTCCAGCCCTGAGCTAAATGGCCAAACCATGGCCCGTGCAGTGACAATCACAGGAGTGTTTCACCTGCTGGAGGAAAGCTCCAGAACCATTCCCCAGCAAGGAGAGCCCTGACAGCCCTTGAGCCAGCTCCCCCATTTCCACAGAGGATTTGCTGGATTGTTGTGCTGCTCTGAGAAGCCCTTTGCAGTCAGTAAATTTGGGGTGATTTATGCAGGAGAGGGGAGGGAGCTGCCACATCTAGAGCAGAGGAGCAGGGAAGTTCAAGCTTCAGAACCTCTTTTCTGGATTAATGATGTCCCCAGACTCATGTTCTGTTGGTCATGGGATAATTTAATGTCCTTCTAACTCTGCTTTAGCACTTTGTGCCTGTGCAGAGCTGTATGGAAGAGGGATGAGTTTTTTGGCCATCTCTGTTTTATCTTCAGCATCCATGTTCCACATGGAATTAAACTCCTCTTCTAACCAAGCTGGCAATCAGAGAATCACAGACTTGTTTGGGTTGGAAAACACCTTAAAACCCATCTTGTTCCATGGGCAAGGACACCTTCCACTATCCCAGGTTGCTCCTAGCCCTGTCCAACCTGGAACTTCCAGGGATGGGCAGTCCTGAGCTGCCCTGATGCTGGAGCCCAGAATGTGAATATCCTGATCCCTGTGGGTTGGGAAGAGCAGGAGCCCACAGCTCCTCATCTCTGCTTTGTTGTCTTTTGTCTCAGAAAACGTATTTATCTGTCATGATTTATCTGTCTCCTTTCTTACCCATGAGGAAATGGTTATCAATTGGAAGAGCTGGCATGAATTATAAATGATTATCCCTCTTTTAACAGCTGAAAGCAGCACTTAAATGTGAAGCTCTTGAATGCAGCGCTGGTTTCCTGGATGAAAGGCAGGAAAGTTTGCTCTGCTGCAAGCCCCAACTTGCTGGTTTTTCTTTCTTCTGCCCTCACCTTGCTTGGTTCATTAATTCACACCGATCAGCTCTGGAATTCGCTGGATTCCCTTAGTCCTGACTCTTCTCCAAGTGTTTCTTTCAAAAATAAGAATTCTTACAGATTCCCTACCCACAGGAAAGGTTGTTTTGTGCTTTTGATTGATATAAAAGCAGGTGATGAAGGGAAGAGCCTTTGAACGCTGGAACTTTGTGAAGAAAGCTTAGGGAAGGAGGAGATGGCAGGACATGGAAGGGCTCCCTTGAATGGTTATCCAGGAATTTGTTCCCATTGCCTCTGGCTTTGCTAAAAATAACAGTACTGTGTGCTGAATGAAAAGTGATAAATGTTTCATGGAAATGGATCATGGATTGAGGCCTTCCTTGGGGAAAAAATTTCACGTGCCTCAGAGGGGATCTTGGAGACCGTGTGTGTTTGCAGCCTGGGTGCTTTACCTGGGTTTGCAGCCTCAGAGGGGTAACTGGGGTGAAATCTCTGTTGTTTTGCTTTGATTTCATTCCAAGTCCCTTCACTTTTTGGAGGTAAGGCTCACCCTGGGTTTGCAGTGGAGCTGTGCTCCTCTTTCC